GCCGGCGGGCGTGGACCTCACCTTTTCAGGGCGGGGGTTTTCCCGTTCACCTCTACGACATCAGCAGCTGCACTAACAATTGTGCCAGGGAGCCCAACCAGGGTGCCGGACGCCGACGTCCTCCCCACGCTAAGGAGGTGACGAGCTCGGGCTGCAGGGGGCTGGAACGCCCGGCGGTGGCCAGCGTCTCCTGTCTCGCTGGCAGGAGCTGGCAGGTCTGCAGCCCGCAGCGGCCGCGCGTGGCGAAGCTCCCCGCCCAAGCATCCGGACCCCTGAGCAGTCAGCGCACCTACCGCCGCGCCATCAAAGGTAACGCCGCAGGCCACTTCTGGCATGTTCAGACATCACGTTATAATAATGGAATTCCTAGCAATTTTCCCCTAAGGGAGTTGGTCAGATCACTTCTCTACTAAGGTCACTCATGGACCATAGATGAGGCACATTTAGTCCCGGTGGGATCCCTTAGGAAAGGCATGTTGAAGACTGGAGAGGTGAAGCCACTCCGTCCAGATGTCGCTACCGGGGTCATAAACTTAGAGCTAAATATCATTTCTTAGACTCTCATTCCAGTTGCTTTTCCAATATATTCTTTCCCCTTTCGACTTTGTTACTAGAGGATCTTGCAAAGTTTTTACAAGTCAGAGAAACGTCCGCAACTCACACCAGAGCACCCCGGGGCATTCTAGGCTGCAGCACCCATCCGAGCCCAAGAGACTTCGATTACAGCCTCATTCTCCCTTCCAAAGGCCATTAATAGAAATTTTCTTTAGTTACCAACATATCTTGAAGTTAATATGCAGATAACTTAAAATAGACAATTAAAAAAGCAACTAACAGGGGACAAGGGATCCCTGTAACACATCTTAAAGGAGATTGTAAGGAATTGCATAATCTCAGAATGTATGTATCAAACTTTTTTTTTTGGCAGCTGACTGGTTTGTGTTATAAGGCTTCTCTAACCAACTGAGCTAACTGGCCAGCCCAACAGACTATTTTATATGAGCCACATCTTGTCTAACTTTAGGCCCATTGTGTAGTTTTATTTCTTGGAGAGAACACTTATGAAAGATTAAAAATCAAAAAGCAATCTCATATGACTCCTGTTTCAACTCTACCTTACAGAAAATTCCCCTGCTCTCAAGTGAACAGGGTTTTTCTCACTGCAAAGAAAGCAGACTGGGCTGTGCTACATGGCCTAGTGGCAACTGAATCCCTATGTGACTAACTTAAAACTGACAAGAACCATCAGGTAATTACTGGTTCAAAAGATGAAAATTGATGTCCATGCTACTGAACCTTTTAGGAATGATTACTTGGTCTCTCCCCATCCACTTACTCGGGGGTTCTATGAGGGTCCTGTCCCCGGCACCCTCATGTTGAAAGCATTTGTTCTAAATGAGCTCTAAGTGGATATTTCTTAAGGATTTAGTATGAACATAGCCAATGAAAGGGCGATTATTCTGGTGCCTTGTTTCCTCCAGTTGTTACTTTCATTGCAGAAACAGCCCTTGTTTCATTAAGGTGGATGCAGGACATACCAAAGAAAGAATAGAATAAGGGAAATTACACCAACAGCATGCAGGCTGAGTGTATCACAGGCCCAAACTCAATTTTCTAATCCTTTCCAAATATTCTAGGGGTTGGCAATTTATGTACAAAGTATTCTCATGTGCAATTATTTTTTAGTTTCTATCCCCAAAGGGTTTCTATCTTTAAAAGGGTTTCAAAGAGATTCGAAGGCAGTTATTAAATTAAATTAAATGATTGTTTAGTGATAGGCTGAATGCAGGAAAAGGATTTGGTGAGTAGGTAATTCTGGCTTAATAGCTGTGTGTATCTTGTTCAGTTCAGTTAAATTATCTGCTTCTGTTATCCATTGATGCTTCCATTATCTGTGTGTTGGGGGGGGGAGTGGCACTGGTGGTTAGGGAACATCAGAGCAAGAGTATATTTTTATACTTCACTGTAAGGTGGACTGAAACCTCAATAAACCAAATTTCACCTGTAACAAAGCCCAGCCTTTTCCATTTGAAGCTCACAAATATGCTTTTCTAATTAGTATTGTTTCCTGATTTTCATAATTTAGCTTCCCGATTCCACAAATACAAGTCAATTACTTGTGCAGTAAGTATAAAGAGATTCACATAACAACCCAAAAAGTTTAATTTTATTTAGGACAAGTTTTGCATATACCATTCCTTGTATATGCCCTATGTGGATAAACAGTCAAATAAAGAAATCAAATAGAGGTTATGTAGTATACAAGGCATGGTGGATTTGAGGCCTAATTTCTTCTTTGTTGCAAACTGATAAACATGGGAGAATGGAGAGTTATGTGTTTGCACTGACTTCCCGATTCACTAGGTCTTTCTTCCATTTGCATTGCCCATTAGTGTCTTCCATTACAGGTCAATTCCAAACTCCCCTCTCCTCTCCTGGAAGGCGGTCTTGCCTTTTTTCCCTAAACATCCATTCATACATTGTGCTAATCTACACCATATCTTCATGCATGTTCTTATGTTCTCCCTTCCAAACTGTAAGTTGCCTTTTCTTCCACTTTTACAATATAGCAACCACCCAAAGGCATGAGATTCATAAAGGCTAATTCAGTAAGTAAATACATAAATTGCAGAGAATCCTCTGAAGAACCTAGAGGATCTAGAGGAGATCACATATCCAGTGTGTTTGAGTCACACATACCCCTGATATTTTGTATTGACCACCAGCAGCAATGATGAAAAATGACACAGGCAGCACCCACAAAAGTGTACATGTTTACATCAGTTTGTCTTATCTTCTCTCATACTTGAGAAATAAAAAGTGGAGGCAATTCTGGGAAACTTTGTTAATATCTTTATGATTTAAGGGAAAATTTTGCTCTTTTATCACCTCTTTGTTTATTTTAAGGAACTGAAGAATTTTTCCCCAGGATAATTAGAAAGTTGTTTAATTAATGTAGGTGAAAGTTGTAGGTATAATGATCCAATTCCTATTGTATCACAAGTACCACTGGAGATAAGATGAATAAATTAAAGCATATTTGTAGGTCATGTTTAAGATTAACCTCCCCAAAGGGCATTGAGTTAATTATGCTTTGAAAATGATCCTTCCAAGAAGAAAGGGTTAAAACTGCTTTCTTTTTTCCTTTCTACTCATTTGAGTACTCTCTGGTGTCTACAAAGAGATTATTTATACCAGGAATGGAAAGAAACCATTTTCAAAGGGACCACCATCTGATTTATTAATCAACTATGATATTTTAACATCAATGACCAACACTACTTTCCGTTTAATCTTTTATTATTGAAGCAGATATTCATGAATTAAGTTGATCTTTTAACAACTTATAAGGTGAGGATATCTGCAATAATCAGAGAAATTGTCAGCATTTTGTTTTGAATGCTTGTACATTCATTGACTTATTTGACCTAACTAGCCATCCCCTGGGCTATTATCCCAAATTTTTAGATGAGGACAACTAAAATCTGCACAAGGTCACAAAAGTAATAAATAGCGAATCCCCTAAAATCTACCCATTTTTTCCTCATTAAAATACTGCAGAGGGAGAGAGACTGAAAGAGAATAAACATGTGTTTCATTGTTTTCTCATTTTTACAGTATTACATGAAAAGAAGTGTTTGATAATAATTGCTAACATGACAAAATTTGGTGTACAATTTTGCAACTTCCACTCAATTGATAAGAATTGATCTTTTATCAATCACAGTCTTGCCTCAATTCTTCTATAAATAACCATTTATGTAAAGTTCTTGAGGAATGTTTGGATGAAATATCAAAATACAGATGTAGAAGTAAAGATGTAAAAATATGGTATCAATTTAAATATTGTTTCATAATTAGGATTGCTAGTGAACTATTTATTGATACAGGAACATATTAAAAGCCAAATGAATTATATAGACATGTTACATAAAATACTATGTCAGAGCATGACTGTACTTAAAATAGCACTCTATGTTCTTCAGGGATATGAACTCTTGATAGAAATTTTAGGTTTCAACTTGTTATTTGGTTATTAAATAAAGATTTTTTGTGGAAGTCAAATATATATTTTGGAGTCAAAGTATTATATAAGGAGAAATGAAGATGATTCTTACAAAGTTAAAGCATGTGATTTTTCTATTTTAATTCTAACTGACCATGTGACATTTTGGAAGGTCATTTAATTTCTGTGGACCTCAGTTTTGAAGTATTTACAACCACAATACTCTATACTTTCCCTTGCCTACCTTCTAAGGTTGTGGCGGAAGATCAAATTAGACAATGTAGGTAAAAATACTTTGCAATTTACCCCTTAATATAACATTGTTTTATGAAATTTTATTACTGATGCAACAATTATTCATTCATTCACATAATGAAATATCCCTAAGAAATGAAATATTTGGATACCACCAAAATTGATAAATACAGCTCTGTTCCTGAAAGAGCTGTATTATGATTTATAAAGCAAATATTAAAAAAATAAGAAAGCTACCAAAAATTTAAATATAGGAATTAGCCCAGTAGTATTTGTTGTCCTGTTCTGCTAGAGGCTTTAGTGTAATATCAGTGTGTGTTTTTTCTTACATAACTATGTGACATTACTTAGGGCATGATTCTAAAATTCCTGTCCTAGGAGACCTTAGATAGCCCTCACCAGCTTCACATTCACTTACATCCCTCTTGGTAGAGTGGTCACAATACAATGAGTGAGGGTAGGTGACCCCAAAGTTCAGAGACCTCATGCACGCAGAGAGAAGAACTCACACAAATAAATATACTGCATTGTCTGACAGCCTCTTTTGAGGAGGCATCAGTTTAACTTTAAATCCATAAGCTCATTGAGAGGAAGGGAGAGAAGGGGATGTCTTTAAATACAGGAGACGTTGCCATAGCATTTTCCTTCTCTATTCCTGCCTACCCCTCTCCCCCGAAAGCAGCAACTATTTATGCTCTGTTTTCTTTCAGAAACCAGACACAATTTCAGAAGTCAGGACTTCAGTGATATGATATCTACACTACATAATAACTACCCGGTAGGGAGATATAATAAGTCTGAGGGTGCTATTAAGTTTCTCAGGAAAGACCCATCTTTGCAGACGCAATTGCAGAACAGAAGACAGACCGAGGGAGAATTTTAGCAACCCCCCTCCCCCCATCTTATTGGCCCTCTGTACAAGCCAAACCACAACCATCCTGCGAAAGGACCAGATTCCTTTCAGCATTGGCAGCCGCGGACAGCTCCCCAGCCGCGCGTTCCTTTCCTCTGCAGTGAGCTGACTTGCTCATCAGCAGCGGTCGGTGCAGCACCCAACGCCGAGTCCTAGCCAGCGCTCCCAGAACACGTGCTCCCTCCCGCCTGCCTCTCCGTCCTCCGCCCCTCGCTCACTCCGACCCACTCCAGCGGCGATTTTTCAGGGATTCCCTCTCGGGCAGCCTCCGCAGCAGCACATCTGGCCTCCTTCGCGGCACGGCGAGCATGGATCTCCGACGAAGAGCGATCCCCAGCGCCGACAGACTTCGAGTTTTCCTGATGCTGTTCTGTAAGCAGCGTTTTGGCGACTGGGAGGGCGGGATGCACTCTTCGCAGAGAATAAAGCCGGCATAGTAAAGGCGGTAGCTAAAGATAAAAATATGGCCCTTATTTTGCCGTTTCCCCCGCCCCCCCCCCCGCCCCTTTTGGGGCGCGGGGAGAGGATCTTCCTCGCCGGTAGCATGGAATTCCCCCGAGAGCCACACACGTGTGTGGCATTTCCCAGGTAGAGCACTAGACAGGCCAGCTTCGTGGGGTCGGAACATTGGCAAGAAAGATTTGGTTTTAAGCCTTCAAGATATAGGGGGAAAAAATGCAGCCGTATTACAAATTAGTGAGGGTTTTAAATTTAAAAAAATATATATTTTCATTGTGAGTTAACAGCAACGGAATCGAGTTTGTTAGCTCTGTGTTAGAGAAAAGGCTCACAGAGCACACAGCTGCTGGCAGGGAATTTTGTCACACCAAAGCCAGCAGAACACCTTCTGGTCTCTCCACCCTTGTGTCCAAGACGCGTGGGCTGGCTGAGCCCTGAACTGATGGGATTTTTGTTTGTTTGTTTCGCAGATACAATGGCTCACATTATGGCAGAACAGGAAGTGGAAAATCTCTCAGGCCTTTCCGCTAACCCTGAAAAAGATATATTTGTGGTGCGGGAAAATGGGACGACGTGTCTCATGGCAGAGTTTGAAGCCAGATTTATTGTGCCTTACGATGTGTGGGACAGCAATTACGTCGATGTAAGGATTCTTTCCTCCCCAGCTTGCTCGTAGGGCTCCAGGGCAAAGGGGACCCTCCCTCAAGGTCCTGAGAAGACCTGGCTGGCCTTCCCTCCCCCGCCCCCACCTCCTGCAGGCGGCTCCCGAATGCTGCATGAGGGTTCCGGCTTGTAACGCCTTCTGCTCGCCCTGCCTGCTTGGAAAGTAAACTTCCCTTTCTCTGCTTCCCTACGGGCCGGGTCTGCACGTAGAGCAGCATCTAACCGCATGTTCCCGGACCTGGGAGCGCCCAAGCGTGCAGCCCTTTACAGCCCCCCGGGGCCGGGAGTGCTGAGGGGGCGCGGGGCGTCTGTGTTCCCAGCTGATCACAGAACAGGCTGATATCGCGTTGACCCGGGGAGCTGAGGTGAATGGCCGCTGTGGCCACAACGAGTCGGAGCTGCAGGTGTTCTGGGTGGATCGCGCGTACGCGCTCAAAATGCTCTTTGTAAAGGTAACTCCAAGCCGGGTGCGCAGAGGGGCCTCAGGCTCCGAGAGGGTGTGGGCAATGGTGGCCCTTGGGATTCCAGACCTCAAAGCCACCAGGGAAGTTGACGTGTGCCTTCGTCGCTCGGCAGGAAAGCCACAACACGTCCAAAGGACCCGAGGCGACGTGGAGGCTGAGCAAGGTGCAGTTTGTCTATGACTCCTCGGAGAAGACCCACTTTAAAGATTCAGTCAGTGGTGAGTAGAAGCAGCGGGAATGGGGAGGGAGCCCTGGAAAGCGCGGACACAGCAGGGAACGCAGGCCTGGAGGACGAATTCCTTGGGGTCTTGGAAACCAATCCGGTGTTTCGCCCCCAGGCCAATTCCGGCCTTGGCTTGCTCTCTACGGCGAAGGAGGTGGGAGCTCCCTCGAGTCCTCTGGGTCTCAAGCCTTGTAGATGCGCAAAGAACCCAGGGCCTGAGGACCAGTCCCTCACCCATGGTCTGATCCTAATGAGACGTCCCTTGAGGGCGTGTCGTCCCCTTGTTGTTTCAGAACCACCTCTTGTGATCTGGCCTTTGAAAGAGCATGGAGAAGGCTAAGCTGTATCTTTATTTTCTTCCCATGCGCTAAACTGCAAGCGGGCAGTGCGACTTACTTTTACAGTCAGGATTTGATGGCCTTCAGTACCTATTTGTGCATGGCAGCGTGGCTCGCACGAAATCTTCAGTCGTTGACTGCAGCCACCTCAGAGTGGATTCTACACGTGGATTAATTTATTAGCTTTTCCTGCCCATCCCTCCAACAACTCACCTAGATCCTCCGAAAATACCGTGGGAACATCCACCCCCCAGATAACAATGTTCCTATCTGCAGGCAAAGACAACATTTAAATTTAGTTTTTTTTTTTTTCTTTATAAATTGTCTGTTTTACTCATAATGAGGCCTTCCACCCAGACATCTGAGCTGGGAAAGGATTTTTATTGAATACATAAAAGAATACATGTCATCTCTCCTTTCCACCCCCTTTTCTCATCACAGTAAAAGAGTATTTTTTCCTCTTCATCAAAATTCATATTCAAGATGCCACCCAGTTAAATGAGACCAAAAAAATAAAAAAGTAAAGAAACCAAACTTAATCCAGAAAAGGAGAAAATGGAGACTTCCAAAGTATATATATATATGAGTACAGGGGGATCGGCCCAGAGCACCAGCTATCGCCCATGCTTCTTTGAGTGAGGAATATAACATTCCTCACTTCTTGGAGTTTTTCTTTTGTTTTATTCTTTGCCGGTATGAAATGAGGAGAACCAAGTCACTGTTCTTTGTGTCTCAGGAATCGCACCGTTAGGTTTTATATAGTCAAAAAGGGTGGGGTTTTTAGGTATCACTCTCCTCTTCCAAAAAGGAATTACAAAATAATATTTACGGAGCCCTGGCTCATAAGAGAATGGGTGCGTTTGTCCTTCATCATGACTTGATACCCTCTGTAGAGCCCCAGCCCTGGCCTGGCAACAGGGAGGACAGGAGGACTGGGGAGACCTGGGGCTGAGAGGCAAGAGCCACTCTGGCACACATGGGTTAGGAGCAGGAGGGGTCTTCCAGCCAGAGGGGCCTAACTATTGCTTTGGGCCTTCGCTGCAGCTGGGAAGCACACGGTCAACTCGCATCACCTCTCTGCCTTGGTTACCCCAGCTGGGAAGTCCTACAAGTGTCAAGCTCAGCAGTTCATTTCACTGGCCTCCAGCGATCCGCAGAAGACAGTCACAATGATCTTGTCAGAAGTCCACATCCAGCCCTTTGACATCATCTCAGATTTCATCTTCAGTGAAGGTGAGTTGATTGGGGGCATGGGGAGGAGGAGCCAGGAATGGCTGGAGCAAGGAATGAAGGGACCTGCTAGCACCCCAGGTTGCCTCTGGGTTTGCTCTAGGCTGAAATGATACTGCCTCCCTCTGTAATAATTTTCAAAGAATAAGAGGGCCGTAAGCTGAACGTATGAACTTTTCTCAGCAGCTCTTTCTCTCTCCTTCTCTCCCTCCTCCCTTCTTCCTTCACTTTAATCCTTTCTCCTCTGTCTCTCTCCCTCCCTCTCTTCTCTTTCCTTTATTCTCTTTCCTCTTTCTTTCCCTTCCTTCCTATATTTCTTTACCTTTCTCTCCCTCCCTCTCTTTCTTCCCTTGCCAAAAGATGAACCTTTATAGGGAGAGAAGTAAGAAAGTCATCTTGGAAAAAACTGTAATTTTGATGCAAACTTCCCAGGGAGACAGCAGCTACAAATCTTCAAGTAGTTAGTCATCTCGAGAGCCATGGATTGGAGCAGGGCCTTTGCTTTTCTGGGCTGTGGTTTCATACATGTCCAGCTGTAGGGTCTACCACTGTGAGTCCAAGTTTTATGTGGCTGGAATGCAGTGGGGTGAGTGTGTCTGCACAGGTAACAGAGAGAGAACCACCAAGCTCTGCCTTCACTCAGCACTCACCTTCATTGGGAGGGATGCCCAGGAAGCTCTAGGAGGGAAGGGTCCCTGAACACTGGGCCTTTTACCCTTAGCTGTTTCTGCTCAGAGGGTGGAGGAAGGCTTTCTCCAAGTCTGTGCTAGCCATTGAGAGGACATCAAGCCATGGCAGGTGCACGTTGCCCACATTCTCTTTGTTCTCTGCATCCCTGTGGAGGTGGGGAATGAGGGGAGTCCAAATTTCTACAATTTTTTTCCAAGTCTAGCACCAATTTACATTGGGTGAGTGTGGGATAAGTGAATTTCGTTCATTTATTCTCTCCCTCTCTTTCTCATAGGGGGGAAGTTGTTAAACACAATTTGATATTCTGTTTATTTCTCATGGTTAAAAAATGGGGAAAGATTCTAATTGCTTTGTGTGTACCTTCCTTAGGGTTGGGGACCTCCAGGTAAATACAACTATTCAAGTGTACAGGATATTAGGGAATCTCTAGCTGTGTTATGCATAGTCATCTTCTAAGGTATGTAGAGTGCATACAATGCAGCTTCCATTCGATCTATACTGAATAGAATGCACCCCCACCTCACCATGTGATTATTCACAAACCACTTGAGAATTTCTAAGTTAAACTGTCCTTGAGAAAAGGGACTGGTTTAGGGCCTGCCCGGTGGCGCACTGGATAGTGCACCGCTTGGGAAGCGCGGCAGCACTCCCGCCCGAGGGTTCGGATCCCACATACAGACCGGTTCCCGCTTTGAGCGAGACGTGGGAGCAACACCGAGGTTTGCAATCCCATTGCCGGTCCCTGGTC